ATTAAACAATTTCATGAAAAAATTTCATAAGATTAAACAATGAAATTGACAGATGAAGGTGGTTTGCACGGTTTACACAAATAAAGGCGGTTTTCATATGATCACTCCTATATATATATATATATATATATATATATATATATATATATATATATGAGATTAACTTGGATATTCAACCCGCTATGCGAGCCGATTAATCCCAGGATGATCACCAGCTTTGCAGGTAGCCCGGAGTCACCGCATTTGAACCTCCGTGACCACAAGGGGATTTTTGTTCCTTCTTGGATTTGAACCTGAGACCTTCAGGCACTTTTGACATTTGAAGTCAAGCTCAAACCAATCAGACACCACCCTTGTGGTTTGAAAAATATATTTTAAAAGCTATGATTAAGGGTCCATATAATTTGAAAAATGTCGAGTTATGACTCTAAATTTGGAAAACAATGTATCTATGTTTTTCTTTTTAATAATATGTTACTAAAAATAGACAATTTTATTTTTTATATTATAGATTATCATTAAATAGACTAGTTTCTAAACGATAGCGGATGAAATATGCATTTGAAAATATGTCTTTAGAACATAATATGTGTTGTTATATATGAAAAACACATCATAACATATTTCGTTATCCACTCCTTAAAAAGTCTGTCTAGGAATACCCTTTTCTTTTTTAATGTGACCTTTTTATTGGACAAAGGGCTATTAATATCAATACTAAATATATATTAAATATGGTTCTAAATAACTCCTTACGACCTTGTTATGGCGTATTATGTCTTTGAGGCTTGGCTTTATCGTCATGTTAACCCATGCGATTTCACTCTAATGCTTGACTTTTGTTATAACGTGTTACAGTATGGTTCTTCTTTCCTTTCTAATTTTATTACTTTCATATGAATTTAAATTGTTCTACAAGATTATTCAAAGCACTAACACACACAAGTAATATATATACGTATGCCGTCTTAGGTCACGTCTCGAAAAGCGCCATGGCCTCGTCGTAACGCGTAAGGCTTGAGGCTTGACCTCGCCATCGTACCACACCTCACGTCATTTATAGCTTTCATATTAAGACAGTTGAATATGAATTAAATGTATTTTGATGGATGAAAGGATTTCCTTGATTAATTGTTGATATACAATTAATTTTATGAAAAATATGAAATTTAATGGTTGTTTGTTTACCTATTAACAGTTTCATTAAGAGGCAACATATGAATCATTAAGAGATGAATCTTGTTTGGTAAAAAAAAGTCTGTCTCTTAATGGTTCTAAAACCCTCTGAATGATTTTGTATCATGGATCTCCCTTAACCATTAAGCGCACTAATTTCATTGTAAACAATTACCAAACAATTATATTTCATTTTGTACTATATCAAGAAAGCCTCTTAATCATTCTGACCACTTAATCATTCTGCACCAAATCATTCAGCAACTGACAAACAGTCCCTTAACTTTTAATAATATAGTGGCTCCACAAACACATGATGGTTACTCATTTATTGGTATAATACAGCAAATTGTATTCTTCAAACAAGAAATCTTGGGACCTCCACCTCCCATGGGTATTGGATGAAGTCCCTCTTTTAGGTTTATTATAATTATATCGTGCAAGAAAACAATTTTAATATATTCAACTTATAACTTTAAAAGATCACTTATATGGGTTCTATCTTTAGTGGCCAACACAAGACCCAGAACACTTATTTTCAGTAGAATTTAAGATGGGTATTGATTTGATTTGATGTTGGTTGTTTATGTTCATGTAGCTAAATACTTATACAATCAAACCAAATTGAAGTATACCTTTTGAATTATATATAGATCGAGTATACATAAATATATGACAAGATTATTATATACACCGATTAACAAGATTGATTATACTGTGAAACTTGAATAAAAAAGGGAGAAATAATTGAATTTCCGCCTAAAGTTGTAATATATTTAGTTTTAAGCTTGAATTTTTTCTTCGGTGGCAATGGAATTCTTACAATGAGCGATAGCAGCTTGAATGGCAGCTTGTAATTCTTCCATGGTGCTATCACTGGTTGTGCTTTTGGCTGGGCTCACGGTTCCTGAAGTAAGAAGTATTCCACTGTTGGCCGGAGAAGTCCTCATGGATGCCGGTGCTGAGAACTCCCCTCTCCTCCCACCACCTCTATTCATCTCCAACGGCAGACTACTTCTTCTGGAGCTCGGCAGGGTTCCGGAAAACGAATGTGGATGCGGGTTAAATTCAGTATTTGGCTTCTTCCCCTTTGGAAATGACAACAATGGCCTCACCATTTTCATATACCTCTTGATGAGTTGAGCCACCTCTAACTTGAGCTTCTTCTTGGAGTTATTGTTGTTTCTTTCTTTATCATCGTCTTCATGATCTCCATCTTTCTCATCAATGGATCCTTTTTTCCCTTTGGGTCGGCCAAAGAAGGAGAAAGATTTGGACTTTGGTCTGCTTGGATTGACATTGTTGCTGGGCAGGTTGAACTCCGAGAAGGTGTTCCGGTGGTGGTAATGGAAACTAGTGTTGCCAATGGGGTTATGTTGGTCCTTTAGGATGTCCTTCGTTGGGAGGGTAAAACTGTCCATTGAATTTGTCGACGAACGAGGGGATATGGGAAGGTGAGACAATAGATGGAGAGGAAGGAGATGGCCATGGAAGAAGATGTCATCCGCCGGAGAAAGGTCAATAGCCGTCAATTGCTCCGGCGGTGGTGTCATAGCGCTACGGTATTTTTGATTGTCACTATCGTCGTAACCACTGCCGGACTTATGCCCATCTTGTTTGGATTTCGATGGTGGATGTGGGTGGAGAGAGATGGTGAATGAGAATTCATGAGTTGGAGATGCTGCTGCCGATGGTGGAGATGTGGTGGCTGTTGGTGGTGCAGATGGATTCTGGATGTTTTCTTGTTTCTTCATATAACTTTGCTCGTTTTCTACTTTATCTCTCGTATTTACAACTTCCATGTTTCAGAACTTAAGTGTTGATAGTATGATCACCTACACAAAAGAGATAAGGAGAGAGAGAGAGAGAGAGAGATGTAAGAGAGTGTGTGTGTGTGTGTGTGTTGTGGCAGAGAGAATGAGAACAAGTATAGTTTGGTGCAGAATACTCGAGTCTTTTGTCCATATAAGAAAAGGGTGTGGTGGATTGAAGACCATCATGAGACAACCGGATCTAATCAAAAATCATTTTTTAAAAACAGTTTATGTCCTTTTCAATTTTACAGCTATAATAAAAACCAAAATGCCAACAAAATAATCAACTTCTCTAATCAAATCACATCTCTTTCCTTTATACCACAATAAACAAGACCCTAAATCACCAATTAAAACATGTAGCAGGCATACTACTGTGTCCGTAGTTACTTGAATGTACTTATGTGAGAATTTGCATACCGATGAGTATGTGTTTGTGTCCTCAATGCATACAGAGAGAGAAGAGAGTACATTTAGGACATCATGAGGAAGAGAAGGGAACCTGACGAGATTATGTACACTTGACGAGAACCCATAAAAATCTTGCCACGTACTCGACGTATGATGCCTTTCGTTACTTAAAAGAAGCAACGACTGCGATCTTTATAGCGACTTGTTTTCTCTTTCTATATGTGCAGTGGTTTCTTGATTCAATTATATGGTCTTTAGAGGACCCCGCACCAATTATGAATTGCTTGTAACATGGTTATCGTGGTTTTAATTTTTTTATGGCTTTTACTTGTTATTTGTGTAGTCACAATTAGGGTTTTCGTGGGTTGTTTTTGAGTTTGTTTAGTTTTATTATCTAAAATGTATCTAAAAATTCAGAATGATGAGATTGTTGTCAAGAAGGGTTAGAGAATGAGGAAAACAGATATATAAAGGTTAAGGAGCATCGGTTCCACGTATATTAATCAACCAAATCAACATCTTTCATATCTTTTTCCGTTTAGTGTTAAACCTCAAAACTTTCAAATAACTCAACGTCTTAACGTTAAAATAGGCTTTGGACGAAAAAATTAAATTAAAATAGACCTAAACTTTACCCTCTATATATTTATTAAAAACTTATTTTGTTGCTCCATTTTTGCATAGACGGACCTATAGGGGTGGTTACATGGCAAGTGCCACCGTATTGTTCCTCCGTGGTAAGGTAAAAAAATTAGATTCGTGAAAGGTGCAACCGTTTTATTCTAAAAGGTGCAACCGTTTTATATGATGCCAGCGTATCCAAAAATTCTTGAGTCTGTCCCTGATTTTTGTAAGATTTATGTTTTCCACAAAAAATTCCAATAAACCACAATTTCTAATACATTAACAATTTATACTTAATATTTGAAAATAAATGAGTGCATGTTACGTTATAAACGTGTTTTCAACATACCTAACACCCGTTGATTTTTATGTAACATGTTCTATATAATCAATAATTACATACCTCTTCGCAACCAGATATTTATGTTATCAGTAATTATCAAATCTATTTATTATCGGTTTAAATAATATGAAATAGAAAAAAACTGAATATAAATAAAAGGGAAATAAATCCATCATTATATTAAATTAAGTACATCTTATTATATTTATTTGACATATATTCTATTTAAAATAATGATGATGACGACATATTAAAATAAAAAACGACATAAAGGTTTACGATAAGAATCTATTTTCCAACTTCTATTTTTGCACGAAACCCAGTTCGATAGGACTCTGAATCTTGGTTTTTTATTCCATTTTTAAATTTTATTCTTCAATCTGCATAGAATTTCGAGTAGTCCAACCTTCTGACACCAAATCACTTTAATCTTTCATTTTGAAAAGGGGGTGGCTAATGGCACCCCTATTCTTTGCTAATGCCACCCCTAATCCTCTATGTAATCATTTTTTTTGTTTCTTTTTTGTGTTTTTGTCCTTTTCTTGTCTTGTCTTTTCTTTTTATATTAATTTCATTTTATTTAGTTTATTTAAATATAAATATATATATATATATTATTATTATAAATATTATTTATCACCTTGTAAAATTTTTATTATTACTAAAAAATATTAATTTTTTATCATAATTTCTATAA